AGATACCCAATCCTTCCACTCAGTCTCATTTAACTCCTCGATCTGGTACGCTCCGAAGTCTTCGACCCGTGCAATTCGGTAGGGACCTAACCATCTCTTATCGAGTTTCCTGGACCACTGCTTCTCCAACGATGTATCGTACAGAAGCACGACATCCCCGACTGCCAAGGGTACTTTCCTCACTCGCGCAGGCTGATCCCATCGGGCCTTATCATCCATACGGCTTCTCGCCATTTGATCAGATGCCTCCTGGATCCTTTCTTCTATCGCCCCGACCTGCCGCGCCTGAATATCGAGCAACTCTTCAAATGACAGGTTGACTTCCAGATCCCGGCGCCTCCACGTCTTAAGAAAGCTTTCGATAGGGAAGGTGGCATGCCTTCCGTACCACAGCGTCGTAGGTGCGTACTTGGTGGATCTCCTTACTGTAATGTTCTCGACAAAGAAAGTCGCCCTTAGGTATCTTGGTCATTGATTAGGCCTACCTTCGGTCCATTTGGCTAGGATGTTCGTAATGGTACTATGTCCTCTCTCTACGGGAGCATTTGCCTGGGGGTGCGCGGCCGTGGTGTAGTTGGCTGCCACACCATACCTTGCTAACAGTTCTTGCACCTCCTGGCAGGTAAACTCTGATCCCCTGTCCATTACGAATTCCCTGAAGAAAGGATAACGCAGGTAGTACTCCTCGATGCAGCTCACCAGGACTGACCCGGTCTTTGTGCGAATGGCTCGCCCGTCTACGAACCCAGACAGGTTATCACGCGCATCGAAGATATAGTTATAGCCTTGATCCCCAAGTGGCATAAAAAGTAGATCGAGATGCACTACAGCCCCCACCTCTCGCTCTAACCTTGGATGCAGCGGCTCTCCCTGCCTTAAACGGGATCTCTCCTGGCAGGGTACGCAAGATCGACAAAATTTTCCGACCATGTCCATCATTCCATCCCAGTAGTACAGATCACTTATCTTGGCATACGTGGCTTGTACCCCTCGATACCCTCCTGCAATGCCATCGTGTAGTGCTGCTACGACGTCGATCTGACGATTCCTACCGCAGACGACCCTCCTGGGATTCCCCACTTCCCTTCTCACGAAAAGGTGACCGTCTCGCACTAAGTAGCGTTGCAACATCCTTTTAGCCCTATCGTTCACATCTCTTAGCCGCATTTCACATGACAGAAGAAGCCCCAGCTCTAGGTAGATTCCGTCGTACTCCTCTGCACGAAAAGCCTCCTTAATTTCCCCTTCTTCGAACTCGTCGTCCTGGCTCTCGGGTATTTCGTCCACATTCCCTACCGGGTTCAACGAGCCTGACTGGTCTAGGCTTTCCTGCAATAACGTATTGACGAGGAGATACATTCCTCCCATCAGGCCCTCATGCCGTTCTACCTGGCCAGGTCCTTCCTCAATCGTCCTCATATCCTCCACCAGGCTATGCGAGCTGGCCAGCGCTAATTTCATCATCCACTGAACATCCTTACCGCCCTAGGGATCCTCTTCTTTAAAGGGCTTAAGGACTAACTCATTCCTCCTTTCATACCCCTCCGGCGCTTGCCAGATAGGATAACCTACACAGCTAGGCACTCGCGGCGACCATTTGTTGATATGAAGACGAACATCTTCTTCCTGATCCAGAAATCCATCAACTGGGGGCGTATTCTCCACCGCCTCCCCTTCCCGTTTATCCCAGTTGATCCGACTCAGCCCGTCTGCCCGGTTCTTACTACCAGGAATCCGTTCTAATTCGAAATTGAACATCCAGATATACGTCAGCCATCTGGCAATCGTCGGATCCGATGGAACGTAATTCCTTAGAGAGTAGGCCAGGGCGGTCGGATCCACTCTCAAAATAAACCTCCTGCCAAAGATATAATTCCGGAAGATTCGCAGACAATGGAGGATAGCAAGGGTCTCCCTCTTGAACTGAGAGTAGTTCCTCTCCGTCGTACAGAGAGTCCGACTCTCAAATTCCAAGGGTTTTTCCTTCCCTTTCATGTCTGCCTGAATTAGAACTCCCCCTAAGGCAGTCGGTCCCGCATCCGTCTCGACAATGAAGGGTCGCGTCTCTGTGGCGTCATAATCTGGCGCTCCTAACACCAACCCTCCTTCTCGAAATTTCTTCTTCATTTTTGCTACCACCTCTTCTTGTTCCTCACCCCATACCCATTCCTGATCCTGACGGACTAACTTCCTCAGGTGTTCAGTCTTAGCGGCAAAGTTCTTGACGAAGGCCCTCCAAAATCCACACGTACCAAGGAAGCTCCTGACATAAGTTATTGAGTGGAACGGAACTGGCCACTCAGTAATCTTGTCCGTCTTCTTCACATCCGGCCTTCGGCCCTTCTCATTGCAGACTATCCACAAGATAGTCGCTTCTCTTATGCAGTGTCTGGATTTGGCCCCGCTTGCCGTGAGGTTATGCTCTTCGAGCAGGCTTAGGACCTTTTCGAGGTCCTGAATGTGCTTTCAGACAAAGCGCCTTACCCCTGGTGAGACTTCGTCGCTCTCTTTCGTCGCCGGCCCCTTCACTGCCAAATCGTCAATGTATGGCTGTGTGATATGGGGGCTGACTGACTGCATGGCCCGAATCATGGCTCGTTGGACCATTGCTACTGCGTTGGTCCACCCTTGTGGGGTCACGTTCATGTGGACTAATCCTCGCGGTGTGTGCATAGCTGTCACCGGCCTATCCGGCGGGTAGACTGGGAACTGATCGTATCCTGAGTAAAGGTCTATAAGCGAAATTATAGGTCTTCCAGCACAGGATTCTGACAGC